TCTAAAAGCTGGATTCGATTTTACCTTAAATGAAGTGCGCGATTGGCTCGAAAGACAGGCTGTATATCAGGTTCATAAGCCACGGCCAAAGTATATTCCACGAGTAAGTTTTAGCTCTATTACTACCCCTAATAAAACACATCAGGCAGATATTCTCTACATGCCTTATGATAAGATAGGTCGGATTACTTATCTTTTTTGCCTTAATGTAGTAGACGTGGCTTCAAGATATAAAGTTTCTATCCCTATTGGTGCATATAGTGTCAAGGATAGACAGGGGATCTTAACTTCAAAGACTATTACCCGAGCTCTTGAGAAAATCTATAATGATCCTGAGTGTCCTCTTATTTGGCTGAAAATATTTTTAACAGATAGGAGACAAGAGTTTAAGGGTGATTGTGAGAAATTAATGAGAAAGCATGGTGTAAAAATTCAGAAGGCCAAGTTTAAACGTACTATGGTATTGTTGAAAGTTATAACAAGACTTTATCTAAGAGATTATTTCATATGCAAGATGCGCATGACTTATTAACATTGCATTTATCTGAAAAATTTCGGGCTTGGGTAAAGAATCTGCCTATAATTGTAAAAGATATTAATAATTCTATAACCTGACTTATAGGTCTATCTTCAGCTATGGCAATAAAAAATGGGCTATGATGAACTGTGATTAACTTATGATGTTTTAATAAAATATTTGCTTGAACCTGGTGAGCTGGAAGGAGATAGTAAATGATGTGCAACTGATAAAAATTGGTCTCTACAAGTTTACCATATTAAAAAATTACTAGTACAAAAAAATCAGCCGGTTCTTTATTGGCTTATAGATGATGAAGGCAATAGTTCTGAATGATCATTTGTACGTGAAGAATTGCTAGTAATTCCTCATGATACTGAATTGCCACCTCAGTAGATGCTAACAAGTTAAGAAAGTTATCAGCTTTGCATATTTAATCATCTGTAAGTGACATGTTAAGAAGTCCTTGAATAATTCCTTTCGCATTCTCTTTGGATATTTCACATTTTTCTTCCTGAGATATTTTATAATTAAGGGTATATAATTTCTCTAGTTTAGTACGCAGTTCCACCGATACCATGTTTAAACTTTCTCTATTCTTGTATTATATGATATTTCATCTGGAACTAGTTTTCTTGCAATATATCTAGCATATCCGTCAGGATTTTCTACCAATTGCAATTTTTTACATAGCTAAGATGATCTCTAACAAATTTACTACTCTCTTTAAAATTCTGGCATATTACCATTTCCAATACTTCTAGCAATGCTTTCTCCACTTTTTTTGCTAGCCCTTCTGGCATCACTTGAGATAAAGATTCCATTCTTTTATTATTATTAGATATCATCTCGTTTTAATAATTTCAGAAAATATTTAATTTGTAAAATCGTTAGCAGGCTAACAAGCAGTTAACATAATATATTTCCTTATATAAACTATCTTTTGATTTGTAAAACACTTTGAAGTTATGAAACAATAGAAAGGCATGGTATTTTATTCTTATCCATACCCCTATATTGATGGTCGTATATATGAAATAAATGTTATCAGCAAGAAGGATGTCACATTCATTGGAAAAAGTGATTTCGTATTCTTTGTGGTGAATGTGATACACCAATGACTTCTTCTTACAGAATGTGTGTAAAACATGCTAAAAAGTATTATAGTAAAGCTAATTATTATAAAAACAAACTTTCATCTCCAGCCACTAGTGTTCTGAATCCAAATCGATCTGATAAGCCTCGAGAACAGAGAAGGATTCCCTAATCTGAAAACATATACTTCAGATCAAATTCCATGGGAATCTCAGTCTACCAGCCACCTACCCCACCCGATAATCCATGATGATGAAGAAAGGTTCACAAAGTGAACACCAGATATGGGTCTGGGTCTATTTGGCTAATCTGTGATAAGAAAACTGCTTGAC